TGGGAGGGTTTGAGCACCTGCGCCCCGGCCCATCCCCTCCCCTCCCTGCGAGGGACATCCCGGAGCTCGCTGGGGTGCGAGGGGGTAGTGCTGCACGGCCCCGCTGGTTCCCTGAAATCAGTTGAAGAAGCGTTCCCGAAGCCCTGCTCGTCTGTCGGGGACCAGCTGCGGTCCTTCTCCACCCTTCCTGCCCGTCCATCTCCTCCTTCCAGGCAAGCGTGTGGTCTCCTGCACACGGTGCTGCCGGCCACAGCAGTGCACGACCGCAGGACAGAGCCACGAGATCCCTTTCGTGGGCACGATGAGGGACGGTGTTTGTAACAGGAGCGAGGGCTCCGTGTTTCGGGGAGAGGCCTCTCTCCTGGTGCGTCTGGGGCACTCATAGTCTTCATCCCTCTTTGTTGCAGTTGTTGGATTCCTGATGCATCCCTTGGCGTCACCTTGGTGTAGTGATGTTGTTGGGTTGCTGTTGCCTAGTGAAAAGGGTAAAGGAGGAAAGTTTGCTTCTGGTGCACTGAAGGGACCTGATTTGAGAGCTGCTGAGAGCGCTTCCTTGCTGCTCCGTGTGGGCTCCCACTGCGTGCAGTGGTGGGGATCCCTTTCTATGGGAGGCAGGGATCACCCTGCTCACACTGGAGAGCTGGGAAACTGGTGTTACTTCAGAGCAGCCCTCCACATAGAGGCAAGGGATGGAGTGTCACGATGACTCTGTCACTGACCAAAAGACACCGTACTCCGAGTTCCTTTGAAAGCCCTTAGTATCTTGCACCAGCATATCCACAGGTGTAAGCTGCCTTTCCACATTTGCTGCTAGCTGAAAAACACTGCCTTGCTTCTGAAAAATAAGTTTCTTCCATCCAAGTAGAAGACAAAAATCATTGCAACTTTGAAGCTATTTTAAAAAGGCCACAAAAAGTACGTAGCTGCCTAAATTTTGTAAGTTTTGTTTGATCTGCTCCTTTACTTGGGGCTGAGAGCAGCAGTCGTTCTGTCACTGTGCTTCAGGGAGGTGGTTTAGTTTTGATGCCCCGTCCTGGTTTATAGGAAATTATTAGGGTAAGCACTCAATGCAAAGAAGTTGAGGATGGGTGAATGCAAGGAAGGTTGTTTTTCTTAGAACCACTAATATTGTCGTAACGTTGCATTTTAATTTTGCATTGATGAGGAGGTAAATGAGACCTTGTTCTGGCTTGCCTGGGGTGGGAGACTCTCAGTGCTGTTGGACGCTTTCTCTGCTCTGCCTATAGAGCCTCCTTTTCTGCTGGTGCTTGCAGCCTGTCTCAGGCTTCGCTCTTCCATTTTCCTCCGCCTTTGATTTAGTTGGTCCCTTTAACTGAAACGCTTCCTACATCATGCCACAGCAGTTTTTGTTAAGAAACATCTTATGTAGTCAGCTTACATAAAACGTAATATGTAACTATAATTGGTGGTGAAACTAGAAATAGTGCTTGGTTAATACTCCTTACACTCTTGTTTTTTGAGGCAGTTGGAGCAGGCCAGGCTGTTTGGGGCTTTTTAATAATTGTAACGGCATTAGTTGTGTGCACCAGGAGGGAACTGGATGTGGCGTGGGGAGATGCTCACATCTGCCACACCGCGGGCAGGGCGCTGCTTTTCTAGGGGAACGTGGCTTGCTTCTGCGCATTGTGTTTTCTCCCTAGGTGCTTGTTAGACCTTTAAAGTCTGAATATATGCTGGCTGGGGCCTAGTGTAGCGGTAAATATTTTTAGGAATGTGTCATCAGGAAGACGCAAGGCCAGGCCCCATTGAGTTTGCCATTCCTGTTAGCACCTGTGAGGAGGGACTTTGGCATCTTTGACATGACTTTGGTCTCTCCTGGCTGATAACCAAAGCTAGTAAAAGTACCCAGGAGCTCCTCGTTCAGTGTGGAGCTGGGTGGCCTGCCTGGCTCGCCTTTGGGAACCGGCTGGCTTCGGCTGGAGGGGAGGTTGCTGAAACCTCTCTGCTGCGGGGCTTCTCCGTGCACTACCTTGGCCGTCACCGCTCACATCTCTTTCCTTTTGAGTACCTGTAGTGTCTGGCCCTTCCAGTAGCTGTGTATTCAGAACGGGATGAATGTGTTCGTGGAGGGCTAATTTTAAGGGCGGTTGTCTAATAAATAGCTCGGTGAGGAGTATAACTGATTCTGGGCTACTGCAGTTGCTCGTAAGCTTCTGAGTGGCACCAGCAAAATCTTACCATACGGTTAAGTGATAAGGGCCGTGGTGTCATGGGGTTATAGATGGCACTGAGCTATGATTTCTCTTCAGATTAGAAGTTAGAGGTGTAACCTGGGCACCTGTGTCTGCTGATTTTTGCTGTTGTGGTGGTTTTAAAATTTGTGACCTAAAAGTTTTTCTCCTTGGCTGTGTGGCCGTGCAAACTGGGAAGTTCGGTGAAAGGATATGCACAAAGTGGTCTGAGAAAGGTGACAAATTAACGGAAAGTTTCTACCACTGGTGGGTCGGGCAATGGGCAGCATATGCATGCTTTTAAGGTTGGCGTGTCCTCCTCATGCTTTCTCGTCGCGTATGTCATCAGCCGGGAAGCTGGCGGCGTCTCTGCGGTGGTCTCGGGCAGGACTCTGCAGCACTTGCGAGGGCTCTGAGAGACCGCTAAGCCCAACAAGCCTTGTGGTAGGTGTAATTGGGCATTTGTCCCTCTCCTGAGATAAGCTCATCTGTACAGGGGTCTGCAAGTACAAAAAGGAAAAAAACCAACCCAACCCCAAACAAAACGTTGAAACCCAGTGGTCTGCAAGCCAGGAAGCTTTTTGACCAGTCTCTATGTGTGCAAGGATTTAAACTTAAAACTTCCCACTAATTTTTAACGACATGTAAGGCTGGCTCCATTTAATTCCACAGAGCAGGCTGCCTACCTACTCAAAGCCTAGAGGGACAAAGGAATGTTTTCATGAGCTGCCTCTCTCCTTTTTAGACAAAACACGTTTATTACAAAACAATAATCTAACACTTCATTGAATTTTTTGTAGTGTGGTGGCCATGCGAAGGCTGTCCCAGCCTCAGTATCCACATACTTTCGATTGTTCAGACACAGCGTGGTATTTGGGAAATGCAACCAAAAGCGCCGAGGAGCTTATCGGTTTCCATGTGCATTTCTGCTGGGCGCCTTTCACATTGTCAAATACTTCATGCCAGCGGTGAGCATGAGGCAGTGGCTTTGTTGGGCACGTTGCACCCTGAGCACACGTGCCCCGCCTTCACGTAGACCCCGCTGCAATCCCCGTGCAAACATTGCTGCTGCTCCCATGGCACGGGAGAACCGGGGAGAGGCACACAGGTTTTTTCCCCGTGTGAAATTAAACATTTGCTCTGCAACCGCTGCCACCAAACTACGAAAGTAAGGATCATGATGTAGGAGTCGGCCTACTTGAACTGGTGTAGATTTCTGTAACTGAGATTTTTGTCCACTGACTTAATCTGGGTATAGCGCAGGTTTGTCAGTAAGGTGAACTGTTATCTGCAGCCGGAATCTGCGTTCTGAAGGCTCTGAGCTGCCAGCGTTGGTGGGGTAGTTACAGTTTTGCATGAGTCATCATTTTGAGGGATGAAGAAAGTTAATTGTTCCTGTTATCTCAGGGTGCAGTCCAATGTTGTAGCAAAGTCAATGGGACGGCCAGGTACCAGTGAAAGGGAGTCCTGCCTTACCCTTCGCTGCCTGTGGCTTTTCTTGTGCTGTCAGCAGCACCCACGTTGCTTGTGGTGACCTGATTTAGGGACCTAAATTGGCAGAAAAATTAATCAGAAATTAAAATGTCAGTGTGTAAGGAGGGTGGAGGGCATAGGTTTGAGTATCCTATTTCCTGACCGTTTTTTGGAATAGTTATTTTTTTCGTGACTGATTTTTCTTCCCAGCAGCTGGACTTTTGACCACAGTTTCATCAACTTAATATTGGTTTTGATAGTGGGGTGAAGAGCATTAAATAAGGACTTTGTATGTGATTGTGCTTCAATGGGTAGTATTTTCATACGGGATATCGGTGAAAATTATCTTTCAGGCTGTAATTCTCTATTTTCTTCCATGTTTCTTTAGCCTCTGCTCACTGTTGAAAGATGGGAGAGATAGAAGGAACATACAGAGTCCTGCAGACTCCTGGCTCTCGCTTGGGTGTCCAGAAGACCACAGGAGTGAGTACCTTGGAGCCGGGACAGAACCTCTCTACTGCAATGGCATCATCGCCTGCCAAAACACACGAGCGGGACCTACCGATCAAAATAAAGATGTTGGACAACACAGTGGAGGTACTTGAGATTGAGGTAAGACAGGTTTGAACCTGATTTCAAGTGCACCTAGCCTCTGATAATGTAAAGCTCACAGGATGTGCTGCTGTACAGAGCAGGGACATTTTGGTGCAGTATCCGAATAAAGATTCCTGTAGGGATTTTACCTACTTACAAGTAGTTAAATGAATAATGCATCTTGTTTGTTAAAATCTTTCAAGCATAATAGATGTTTTGTGTTTTTAAAAGACTTTAAATACAAGCACATACTGTAACAAGAAGCTTTAACTGTTATTTGCTTTGGGGGAGCACCAACTATCTTCTGCCAAACTCTTCTTGCTTCCTGAGCCACATGCAGCTTTGTCGACTAGGCAGCTGGGAGAGCAGAAGAGCTTTTTTTTTTTTTTTAGTTACTACTTTTTATGAATTATTTTAATGGTTTGTATCCTCTTCAAGTAAACTTGCTCCTAATTGAAAGTTTTTGCTTGTTGCCACGCTTTGGGAGGGAGCCACCAGAGGGGTGGCAATGTTTCTAAAAAATTGTATTTAAAAGGGCGCTTGCTTAGCAGTTGGGGAAACCTGCGTTGAGAAATACAAACCGTGCTCAAATTGAGGTGGTTCTGATTTTAATCAATCAAAAAGTTTTGTTCTTCACATTCTTGTTTTGTTCTCAGCATTAACCTCAGACTTAATTTTAGCTTACCTAAAGATCTGTAGTTAGAAAACAGCTCTGTTCTAGTGAAGATACTCAGCTATCGGGTATTCTACATTAGTATCAAATTGACTTTATAATTAGCACTTGTAGCCTTAGTTTGTTGCATAGAAAAAAATGTCTGTGGAGCTCTGAAAAAATAGTGGCTTTTGGAGATGTCTTCTACAGATTGCTGTTCAGCTATTCAACTCTCAAACATTAATTTTTTTTAATTTCTTTTTTTTTGGTTAAGTGTGAGGCTATGCCTATATCATCCTACCTGAGGACATAGAGGGTACAGCAAACCTCTCCATCCATCATTTACTCCATAGAACACAAAAGCCTTTTTAAAAAATATTTTAGAATAGTTTTTTTAAAAATCTTCTGACTTTGGTTCTTTTGAATTGTGATTAATTTTTTTTTTTCAAATTTTGGTCTAAACATTGGTGCTTTTGTGTTTTGATTTTAAAAAAGAAGAAAAAAATATACAAGCAACCCCACATTGGTGCAAGTCTGCTGTAAGCTGTTAAAATCAAGAAAGAATTTATAACTCCTAGTTCCTGCTTTACTACATGAAGTCAGTGACTAGAAATCTACTCTATATTAACACAGATGCTTTCCGCCTCTTCCTTGTCATATTTGTACCAAGTCAGTCTGCTCTTCTCATGCAAATCTTCTGCTTTCCTTGATAACCTTACCCTCTTCAGCTTACTTTGTAACTCTGACCTGGCTCTTTCTGACACAGTCAAAGCCTGCTTTATTGTCTTTGATCTGCTGCTGAAGGGAGATCCTTTGGCTATGCTCGCCTTTCAGACAACCTCTGAATCTTTTTCTGCCCTCAGACTCGCTGATGCTTGGGTGGCCCTGGGGTCCCATCCTGGAGCTCTGCCCTAGCTTCTCTGCTGCCCTCTAACCTCTGAGCACCCTCCCTTGGTACCCCTCGGTTCTTGTCCATGCTCGATATGGTTCACTGCTTTCCCAATACCTTGTTTTTTGAAGCTGTCTTGACCTGGTTCTCCTTCGCCTGCTGGAACAGTCTTGACTGTATATCCTTCTAGTTATCTTCATTGCTCTCTGGCTTCCATTGCAGGTACAGTTTAGCTCCATCCTTAACCCCTTGTCTTACCCTACAGCACTTTGATGTTAGTCTTTCTACCGAGCACAAATTCAGCTGTGGCTCAGTTTTTTTTATGATGTCTCAACTCTTGACTGTCTCTCAGCTCTGAATAAAATCAGCCTTTGCCTGATGAAATTTGTTTCTGATATTTATGTGTCAACATCGGGCTTTACATGTAAAAACCATAAATTCCTCACACTTTTTTTGACTACTGTGAGTCATACTGCAGTCTCACCTGTCTGACCAATATTGTAGTTTCTATTTCCTATTAGGAACTGTCTTAGTTTCCTCTTTTTACCTGGAAAGCTCTCTCTGATTACAACATTCACGGAAACACCTGAATTTGGGCAACTAGCATGCTGAGGCCATAGTTAATATTGTACTGTTCTTTGTGAGGTCAGTCAGAACTGAGCAACTTAGAAACTTTTGCCTAATGATGTAAGTGGCGAGGAGAAGGGGTTGTCCTTTGTTCATCTGTAGCGCATCGAGCACAGAAAGGTGCACAATCAGCAACTGTAGCATTAAAGTCCTACTAATACACTGCCTGCATCTCCTTTCATTTTTGTCTAAATGAGGTTGCAAATGATAGCAAACAGGGATGAGGTATTAAGTTATAACCCTCTGCCTCCTAATTTGTTAGCTGGACTGGTGGGATAGCAGTAACTGCTGGCTGTGATGGAAAATTGAAATTTGTCACTTGGGGATTGAGGGTAAGAATTGGGAAGAATCGGCCACATCTGCTGAATAGCTGGTGTGGGCTAACACAGGTGTTTTTTTTAAAAAGCAGCAAGAGAAATTAATGATTAAGCAGCTGTCCTAGAGGGATTGAGGCTGTGATTGCAGTGCTGCTTGCCTGCTCCTCTTTGTTTTTGCAATTTTTTTCACTGGGTGCGGAAACGAGAGGCAGTGTTGAGTTCGTTACCTGCTTCATGGGGTTTGTGTTTATTGATTCAGGTCAGCAATAATTTTCCAGTGCAGTGGGACACTGAGGCCTTTCTCATAGGTGCTGCTGGTACTGCCTTCTAATGGAGACATACCTTATGGCAAAAGGTGTTCTTCAAATCATTTTCCCTTCTGTCTTTGAGAACTCTGGCAAATAACTTTTTACTGAGAGAAGCGGTGTGTCGGTGGAAGAGACTGGGTAGACACAGCGGTCAGCTTCTGGAGAGAGGCCTTCTCTTTGTGCTGCGGTAGGGAAGCTGACGCAGGAGCCCTGCGTGCTGCCTCGTTTGTGAAGCAGCCTAAAATGAGCCACATCAGCAATTTTAACCGTACAGGATAAACAGAGTAGCCACAGTAACAATTTAATCCATGTGGTTTTTCCTTGTTATCCCCTCCTTTCTCCAAGGTGCTTTTAAAACACTTGCTTATCTCCTGGCAGGTGCTGGTGGATACTCTCGTTTGGTAGCTTTTCCCCATCCCTTGGGTCTTTTAACTTGCCAAAGAGCAAGAAAAGAGACTGACATAGTGCCGTAACGGATGGGATGAGAACAAAACAGGAAAGGACAGTCTTTGCTTCATGTTATTGTTGTATCTAGAACAGTGTGTTGAAAGCTCAGTATAGCTACAATCCACTGCCTTTTGTCTCAAATCTACTCTCTCTGTTCACACTATCTGTACTGTAAGGTTTTCTTTCTAATTATGAACTTTGTTAGTATCAGGGAACTATTCTTTAAAGTATGCTGGGGCAGAGCTCTGCTCGGGGGGGAATCCGTTTTGAATGTTAGGGGATGGAGAAATGCTCAAATGTTTTCTAGACTTTAAAAAACCTGAAAATTGCGTATTTATGGTTTCTCCTTTCCCTCCCAAAACAGAAAAGAGAATGAAACATACCCATCTAAAGCTAGGCTGGATTATTAATTATTTTCATGAGTTGTGTTGTTGTTTTCCCTTTTTACGGCCAGCTTGTTTAGTCAGTTCAAATCTGGCATGTGCCGTATCAGGGGTACCTGTCCTCTTCCCTCCAATCTAAGTCTGTCCAAATGGGCGGTTCTCCAGACTACTAGCTGAACGATCAGAAAATTGAATTTAATTCAAACTGTGGGCACACTTCAAAGTCATCAGGGTTTTACAATAGAAGTTCTGCCAGCTTTCCTGATTTTCTTAAGAGATTAAACTTGGAGGCCTTTGATCAGCATAAAAACGTGGCAGACTCTTAAGTAGAAGGGGCTGGGCTGGGTTTAATTTGTCAAAATGACCGCTTGGTGAAATTATACTTGTCTGGTGCTGCTTATGGAAGACAATAAAGTGTGCTGCAACAAAGGACAACTTAGACTATAGGAATTTAGGGTAGGAGAGTGTGATTTATACTTGCTGAAAGCTTTTGCATTGATTTGTGGAAGAGATGGAAGGGGAATGTATTACAGCGACAGATACAGGGACTGTCGAAGACTTAGAGTACAGCGTGTGTGAGTGGGTTAGAGGAAACAAGGGGTCTTTTTGTGTGGCATAGTTGGAAGAAGAGTGGTGCTGATGGCAGTTGAGAGTCTGGTGCTGTCTTAAAATCCCGGTAAGTGAAATAGCAGGTTTAGTCAAGAAGAAAGCGGTCAGACTTGCTACGTCTTCCAGCTGCTTTCTCTGATGCAGTACTTTTTGGGGGGATCTGTAGACAGGCAGGCTGTAAGGTCTGCCTCTCTGATCCAGTTTTCTCTTTGCACTGGTTTATAAGACATTTAATGGCATCACTGCCATAATGTGATGTTTAATATTTGGTCTATATGTTGTTCCTTGTGTGCTTGCTTTAAGTGAATTATGCTCTCTGCTATGAGGAAGTGCCCTGGAAAAAGAAGTTTATATGATTATGCTTCAAGTTTACCAAACTCTGTTTGGCAAGAACTTGGCACCTCTTCAATTGTGTGTACTTCCTTGTCTCCTTCTGCTTGAATGTAAAATAAAATTTGGGAGTGAAAAATGCATATGCATTATATTATAGTTGAATTTTTTTCTATTTTCACCTGCTGGAAAATGAATTCTGTAGAACTGCAGTAGCCATCATAAAATAATAGCACAGTTCTTGGTGCTTGGCAAAACCAGGTGGGTCTGCCTGCCTGGTGTACTCAATGGGAAAACTTAAACTAGAATTTTTTCTTTCATGCTGTTCTTTGTCGGGTTGCTTTGAGCGCACAAGTCTGTTCTTTCTTTTTTAAATATAATGAAGTAACTTGCTTCTCAATAAAACATGTTAATAGTCTAAGTTAGGTTTATGTTGATTTGAATTTGCCTCAGATT